CATAAATCTTGCACTTTAGACTGGTGCCTCGGCCCATGGTCATGCAAAATGATAGTGGTACACAATTTTGAGTCAGTCTGGGGTGCATAAGTGATAAAAGATCATCATTTTAAATAGAATGAGGTGAGGAGACTTGGAGGTGAAGAGAGAAGATAGAGGGCGGTGAATGACAAAATGGGGAGAGTGGAAAAACACTACGAGTGTGAGAGAGAGACATTGCATGAGTGTTTTCCTTTTCTTACAACCAATGTAAATGTGTGCAAGTGTTAAGATGTGAATGGGAGGAACTTTGTGGAGCAAAGTGTGGAGGAAAACTCTGGTTTGGTCTCAAATGAATCTTTATTTATGTATAAACTTTAATTTTCATTTCTAATGAAAGTTATTTTATTTTCACTTACCATGTTTACTCTCGAAATTGCTTTCTCCCTTGAATTATAATATATTGAATTTAAATTTAATTTATGATTTTGTGAATTGTACTATTTTCAAGTGCATGTTGATGTGTTAATATTTTATGCTTAATTTACTTCAGAATTGAGAGCTTAGAATGTTAAAATGGGTTACGATCTAGTACAACAGAAGTAGGCTAGTGAAAAAATTAAATTAACATACAATATTTTATGAGAATATGAATATTATAGCTGGTGAGACAAAAAACATGGGTTCTTTTATTTTAGTGAACTAAGTTGAACTATAAAACCCAAGCCTGCTCATGACATCGAAAAAGTCTAAGGAGTGTTACTATTCCTAATTGTTGATAGTAGATTTGATTGGATGATTCTAGATTTCTTAAATTCAACTCAAGGGAGAAATTCTATCGTTTGCTAGAAAACCTCTCTAATTTGGGTTACTTTTGCAAATAAAATTAGGTTTGGATACTTAAAACTTCATAAAAACTTTGACCTTTCAAACTAAAGTTAAAAATTAGTAGACTAAATATTCACTATAATATGAAATTTAACTCATTTCTCATGATATCAATATACAGACTCAAATTTGTGTATTAATTGAGTGACACGTATACATGTGTGGTTGACGCATGTTTCACAGTATCACAACTTCAAGTTTTGGTACTCTTTCCAGTGAACAACACTAATTTTTCAATTTATGAGGGATTTAAATTATTACAACACAATTTATGAGGGATTTTTCAAATTAAAATCTTTGAATGTTTAGATTTGAAAAACTATAGCATTATTACCATTATATATATATATATTTAATTATTTGTGTTGTTATAGTGTTGAAAAACCCCAAAAAGTCTTGTGAATTGTGATTTTCTTTTTGGTTATTGCACGTAATTGCTTAAGTGTGATTGTTGCTCTATGTGTATTATATATTATATTTGTGTATTCAGTTAGTTTAGGGTTATTCATTTGTTTGTCATTGGTGTGTATGTGTATGACTAGATTTGTTGAACTATTGTCGTACGACCTTGAAATAGAAAAAAAAAACTATTAAAATTTAGAAAACAAAAAAAGATGTTAAGAGCAATGATAAACCGCAAGGGTAAGAATGTTGATGTTATACCGCTTAGGGACTTTGCCAATCCCTTGGTATATGGAGTGCACGAGAGCATTAGTAGACCAACCATTAGTGCTAATTCCTTTGAGCTCTAACATTCATTCAGTCAAATGGTCCAAAATTATCAGTTTGGTGATCATTTGTAGAAGATCCTAACCTCCATATTGTCAATTTCTTGAAAATTTATGCAACATTTAAGTATAATGATATTCTGATGATGCAGTTAGGCTTAGGCTATTTCTATTTTTCTTAAGAGTCAAGGCAAAGATTTGGCTAAACTTCTTACCGCCCAATTCAATCACAACATGAAAATAGCTTACCTTAAAAATTCTTAGCTAAGTATTTCCTTCCATCAAAAGCTATTGAGTTTAGAAATGATATAACATCTTTTACCCAATTAGATGGTGAGCTATATATGAAACTTGATAGAGATTCAAAAAGATGCTTAGTTAGGGCCCACACAGTGCTCTACCTATTTTTTTAATCATACGAACTTTTTATAATGTGCATGTGGGATCTTTGAGGTCAATCGTAGCTGTTGTAGCAGGAGGTCCTTAATGTCTAAACCGTTTAAGGAAGCATATGCTTCAATAGAATATACGACTACCAAAACCTTTTAATGGTCTTTTGAGAGAGTGAACCTTAGGAAGTTAACCAGTATCCTTGGTGTCGATGTGCAAGCTATTTTGATTTCACGGGTAGTAGTTATATCAAAGAAGCCAAACAATTTAGGCTTAAATCCAACACCATAATCACTAACAATAGATGATAATATACATGGATAGTAGATCTTCGTAGTGCTTCTGTAGAATTTATGAATCCTATTAACAATTAACACAATAGCCCATATTTGAAAATTTATAACTCAAGCTGGAGGAATCACCAAAATTTCAACTCGAGTAATAATAATTAAGGTGTAGAAAACCAACAATGAAGAAGCAACCACTCTAATCATGTAATAAATTGGAATAATGAATGCAATAATAACCAAAGACTAACCTACCCACCTAGATCCACTTTAAATTTTCAATTTAAGAAGAATAAGTTAACTTTGGAAGAAATTGTATTGCAAATAAGAAATCAAACACAAAGTCAAGCAAAAAACATAAATAATATTAAAAATCAATTGGGACAGTTAGCTAAATTATTGAGTGATAGACCCTAAGGGACTTTGCAAAGCAACATTGAGGTGAATCCTAAGGACCAAGGTCTAGAGAAGTGCAAAACTATTACATTTATGAGTGGAAAGGAGTTATAAGAGACATTAAGGGAAGACCATAAAATTTAATTTTATTGTTATTTGAGAATTCTCAATCATTAATAAAATTATATTCAAACATAATTCAAATACATTTAAGCATTGATCAAACTAAATTTGAATAGTGGTTGAAAAGTCATCAATCTATGATTTATTTATGATTGAAGACATAATCTATCTCATTCTGACCATGTTACCAAACAATTGTGTAAATTATGATTAGAACATGTTCACATAATATTCAAATATGTTTGTTTCTTTTTCGAGCAATGCTGAAACAATATAATTTTCAATACCCTCTAATACTTTATTATGGTTCACATAAGATCCAAGAATAATTCAATCACATGCTTATTAAGTTTCAAAACACCTTTTTGACAATTCATTAGCTTTGTATTAAAATTTCGATGAAATTATCTAATCTTGAACAAATAATGAAAATGCAAAAAAAAGTACCCATTTTTATTTAAGCTATCGATAAATAAAGAAATATCAAAGTTGGCAAAGCAATCCCTCATGACCGAATAAATCTTGGACAAAACTGTGATGAACAAGCGAGAAAGTTGAAGTGAGAATGTTGGAATGCCATTTTTATATATAGAGGGAGATAGATTAGCCAAAGTATTTTTGTTTGGATTAAGTTTTGAGTGTATTTTTTAATAAAAGAAACATCAAACATATTTCTCTAATCAATAAAGTCACACACACACACAAGCACCCATGCACAAGACACACACGCGCGCGTGCGTGCACACACACACACACACTACATGCAAATACCAATGAAGAGAAAATTAATGTACATGTTGCATGTATTAATGAATTAATGTGATATATCTATCATTTTTTGTTATCAATGATTTTTATTATTGTCATGCATGTTGCTTTAGCTCATATGCATAATCTAAAAACTTTGGAGGTGTTAGTTATAATTTCACTCAATTGAGCTCTAATTATATTTGAACCTTTTATGAGCTATATACGTGCATTGTTCAATCAACATTTATTTTGATTGTATAATATTTCTTTTAACTTCTTAACATTAAACCTAGAAATGTACTCATTTATCATAACTTCATTCAAATTTATGTTACAAAAGAATTTGTAGCCTTTCTTTTGTTTGATGGGGCTTGAGAGCACCACATTAAATTTCAGCCAATGCTTTATTATAATTGTATGGGTAATAGTGTAATTGTTTTTAACATAAAATCTCAATCATAGAGTTTGTAAGGATATATCAAATTGCCACTGTCATTGCGATATAATGTTATCAATTGACTCTATTAAAAATATTTAATTGCTACTAATTCATGCAACATGTATATATCATTGATTGTATTTATTTTACACTATAATGCTAGTCATTATGTCAACCTAATGTTGTTGCAAAGCCCTAAGAGATTAAAGCTCTTTTAATACATGTTTGCTACATGAAGTTTTTGATCAAACAAGCTATAAAAATGCAATTATAATTATAAATCATAAAATGTAATCATTACAACTGCAATACACCATATCAAAACTAACTTTCATATAATATAGCACAATGACAACCAACTATTAACAAAATATAATTTAATTTCCCCTCATGTGTCTTTGGGTGAGTGTTTCAACCATTTAATACTAATGAAGTAGTTTATTCCCCTTCTACTTTTTGGATCTTAAGCATAATATTTAAGACACTTCTATATTATTATAAAATGCCTAAATTTAATTTCACATCTTCAAAGTTATAGAATCCTAAATGTATATATATGTCTTCATTAAAAATAGAATTTCTTATGTCCTTTGAAGAAGTTCAAAAGTATTCTTATATTTTTAGATGAATTTTTAGAGTATTTCTTTAAATAAATAAATAAAGGACCAATTTGATTAATTATATGAATCATATTAATCATAGCTTTCTTTGTTATAAACTTTAACTAATATTGATCATAAATTTAAATATTATGAATAAAATTACTAAACTAATTGTAAACATTTGAAATTAGAAAATTATTAAGAAGTTTTCTAATATTTAATATAATACTAAGCTCATTATGCCACCTAGACATTTTAAATAAATTATCTATTTTATATTTGTAGTTTCTGACTAAAAAAATTGAATGACTAATTTTATATAATATTATTTATATTTTTTATAGTGCATGAAAATATTTTTTCATGATATTTATGGAAATATATATATATTACTTTGAGAGGGTTCGAACTCGCTAGCCAGTCACCAGCCATTGGCGCCGACCGGAAAAAGCCTTCGTTCTTCTCCGACTTAACAAGAGCCTCGGAGGTCGAAGCCGATCTAGGGTTTTGTTCATCGAATATGATTTTCCAACCATGGTGAGTCGTCATCCTCTATATGTGTTATCTATTGTTCTTTCTAAAACCTTAGGGCATTTTCGCAGGCTGACGTTGAGGCTGATGTTTCTTGTAGCCGGTGAAAGAGTATGACATTCAGGAAGTTCAGCTGCAGAGGCGTCGATTTTGATGCCATACTTGGTATGTCCACGAGGAGCTGGCAGATGGTCGGTACGCTGCTACTTTTTTGTTCGCTTAATTGTGATTTTCCGCACGAATCTGAGTGCCTAGTTTTTGTCCCTCTGTGATAATTTTTTTTGGGGTCGATTTAACTGTTTCTCCTGTAAGTCTCTTTTTTCTTCTTTCTATTTGTTCATTCAAGATGCGCGCGCGCGTGTGTTGAGTTCTTATTCTGCTAATGAACCCGTTTTGTTGTCTGTGCGTTTGATCATCCAGTTGATAACGAATGCTTTTGTTAAAGTTTGGCAAATGAGTTGGTAGATCGCGGATGAGATAAATCTTCCTTGTAGAATCTTCTTTTTTTTTTCTTGCGCATTTTTTAATTCCGATTTTTGGGTATTAACTGCATTTCATCTCTTTCATAATTTTGTGTTAAAAAATTTAAGGTAATCTAGAAAAAGATAATCTATTCTTTTAGGTGTCATTTGAGATCTCTTTTGATTTTTGTTTTTTGTTTTATTTTGTTTTGTTCATGCTTTGATTAAAAATATAACATGTTTGGTATGATGTAATATATTTATTTATTTTTGAAAACACTAAAAAATAGCTTTTAGATATTTTGAGTGTTTTTAAAAACAAGTTAACTTGTTTTTTTTTTAAATAATGCACAAAACAAAAATGTTCCTACAAAAAAAGAAAAAAAAAACAAGAGTGAGCCCAAACAAACCCTTAACTTTGTATGAAAATCTTGCACACATAGATAAATTATGTTGAGAGTAGATTGTAATAGGCATAAGATATTTTGTCTAAATCTAAAAAGGGAAAAAAGTATATGGCTTAGTGTAGTTGAAATGATTCTATTATTGTATATTATATAATATTATTTCATAAGAAAAGAATTTATGGTGGTGTAGTACAAACATTTATGTTTTACTTTTACACTAGTATTCCCACAAAAATAAAAGAAATAAAAAGCACAATAGTCACCCAAGATTTTGTTTTTGGAGAACCCAAAAAAGGAAAAATCTTGATACCTAACCCAATTGGTTTCACTATAAATGTACAAGTTAAAAGAGATTCTATGTTTATTGAGCAAGAAAAAAACTATATTACAAAAGTGGGGTTGTTGATTGAATTCTGCTAGAGGAGCGACAAGAAATGTTGGAGCAACAATAATGTTCTAGCTGCAACGATGAAGTTCTAACGATAGAAGTTGAATGACGAATATTTGAGGGTAACATTGTTGATCCAGCGACGACAGTTGCGAACGGGCAACGACAATGGCGGCTAGATAACGCTGATGGTGGCCGAACAATGATAATTTGGCAATAGCAGTGAATGAAAAATGATGGTTTGATTGCGAATGGGGTGATGGTCGAGCGATGGTGGTCCTATGGCGGCGGTAAATGGGCGATGTCGATTTTGCGGTGATGATCATCGGGTGATAGCAATAGTCGAGAGGTGATAGTTTGGAGATGGTGATGACTGGGCGACGACAGGCCAACAACTATGGCTGTCCAACAACAACTGTGGTATGATGATGGCAACGACCTAGAGATGGCTGCCCCTCAGCGGTGACAACAATAGCGATGATTGAGAAATTGTGGTTTAACGGCGGTGGCGGCCTGGGGGCAACAAATTGACGACGACTATGGTCTAGTGATGACATTTATTAGAAAATTATGGTCCAACAATAGTGAATGGGAGATGATGATTTGACAACGTTGATGGTGTGGTGGTTGTGGTTTGGTGGCAACATAATCCAACAATGACATCGATGAAGAAATGGTGGTTTGGCGGTGTCGTCGACGTTCAAATGATGGTATATTAAAATGTCAAGTTCGACAAAAAAAGGACTAAGAATATTGACAAAGCATCTGAGGTAAGAGGCATCTCTTCATCTGAATCTTCTTGGCTGAATTTGCTTCAAGCGGGCATACCTCCGTAGAACCCTAAGTCTTATTAAGCTGTATGCTTGCTTTGCACTTGCATTGTTCTCGGACACCGCCTCTATCCTTTTTGAAGTTGGCAAGGTGGGTAGATCTTTGTATCACCTGAGAGTGATATTCTTCGTTATTCTTAAGACTTGATAGTCCTACCTACACATGAATAACAAGCCTTAATATTAAACATTAATTCTTGGGCTCAAGATCACCATACAAATAAACATAAAAAAAAAAAAAATAGTATATATGGTGATTATCAACTTGTAATCAATCAGGTAATGGAGACTACTAAGGTCTTTAAGCCTGCTTCTATATTATCATGGGCAGGTCATGGTATTACCATAATATATCTTGGATGTGAGATTAATCAAAATGTCATGCTCACTAAATGGCGAAGTTGATGCTTTAACTAAGCTAGCCTAAGAGCTGTCTAAACCCAATGGAAGTCCCATCATAGTAGCGATCATAGTAGGGTTTTGTCATTGGCTTTGCTTGACCCTAATGAGATTATACCTCTGGATGAATAAGGTGCTGCTGCCTTTGCGTCAATTGTTGAGCAAGAAGATGATTGATGGCATATTTTCATTGAGTATTTAATAAAAGGGAGACTTCTTGTTGTTCGCTCTTTAGTGGGCTATATTCAAAAGAGTTCATTTTCATTTACTGTTATGAATAATACCTTGCATTAGCACTTTTTCGATTAAATATGGTTGCAATGTCATGGGCGAAGTATATGAGATATGTGTGGGTCCCATCAGTTCGACCTAAATATGAATCTAAAAATAAGAAAAACTTGATTATTATTGACATTCAATGACTTAGGATTATATGGACTACTTAAAAAGGTGCCGTTAATGCCAAATCTTTAGCACTGTGTTGTACCAACCATTGAATGCCCTACATCTCGCAGTGGATCATAGCCCTTATAGGCTTGGGGAACTGATATCTTAGGTTCAATTGATCCCTCATTCTTCATAGGTCATAGATTTATACTAGCAGTTATGAATTACTTCTCAAAGTGGGCGAAATCCGTTTCTTTAAAAGAAACTAAAAAAAAAAAGTGTTGCGCTGTCATAAATCATGTTGTGTATAGGTTTGGTGTGCCTATTGGATAATCTCTGACAATGGGTTGACTTTTATATTCACTTAAATTCATAGATTTGTCCGGCGTTACTCGATTGATTGACACTATTCTACTATACAATATCTAAAAACAAGTGATTTTTTTGATATATTTAATAAAATTTTGGTAAGTATTATTAAACTAATTCTTACCACAATAAAAAAGAATGATATGATAAGTTGCTAGAGGTGTAATGGGCATATTGTTATATGTATCACACATTCACACAATTTATCCCTTATTCATTGACCTTCGGGTCTGAGACAGTCTTTTTGTTGGAAGTCGAACTTCCCTTATTGTATATTGCCCTTAACAACAATGTTAATGACAATCATAATATCCACCCTAGGATGGAGAAACTGGATGATTTGGACAAGCTTTAGACTATAAGCCCTACAAAATTTGATACTATATCGAGCTCGTATGAGTAGAGCTTATGACAAGTCGGTGAGACCTTGAACTTTTATTGCTGGAGAGTTGGTATTAGTCCTATGACATCCTATCTTATCCCATCGCTACTAACATGAGAAGTTCAAGCTAATATGGGAAGAATCATTTGCGATTGAAAATGCCCATGAAGGAGGAGCTTATTTGTAAATCATTGCGAACGACTCCCACATAATGCCACTCGTTAACAAGAGATACTTTAAGAAGGTCTATGCTAAAGATGTTTTAGTGTATTGAGTCCGTTCTGTGGTGCATGCTATAATATATGATATACTTTTTTTCATTCGAGTATAATAAAATATATTTTTTCTTTTAATCTTTTCGTGTTGATATTCATATGAAAAGATGGTTGTACTCACTTTATTCTCAGTTAATAGGTACAATTTGTTGTTTCTAATGGAATGCAAAATAATTAAGATGTCATGTTTTTAGATCATGAAAATTTATCCTCTATGAGGCATACTGAATCGTTCTAATATATTAATGATTGAACGAGAGAAGAAAAGATGATATCGTGTTAAGGTAAATATACCATTCTGTCATGGGGGTCCTTTTTTATTGAATACTAAAAGAAGGAAGACTCATATTTCTTTCTTAAATCAATTTCTGTTTATTTGTGTTTTATATTGGGTCCTGTTTTTAAGAGAAACCCAACAGTTTCGTTGAATTTTGTCGCGCCCCTTTTTGCTTCGCATGTCGTGTTTTGTTATATAATTTCCATTCTTAAGCTTTCTCCTTTTGAAGATCACTACAACACTTATGTTTAAAGATTAAAATGATGTTGTTGATGGAAAAAATTGAGAGGAAAGAAAATTGAATGAATTTAACAAACTAATAAAAAAAGCGTGTGGAGGATTATCACAAGATGGTCTTTGGAAGATAAGTTGGGAACAAAGGTCTAAAAGGATCAGATCAATTCAAGCCGGATGAATTCACGAAGACCTATAAAATTTCTTAGTATAAAATAAGATAATTACATTAATTTTTTTTTTATTCTTGGTACATGAGCATTCTCATAGGAATATGTCTATATGATTAATTATATTTTGGAGAGCACAAAAAAATGCATTCGATTAAAGAAATTTTGTCGGTGTTCTATTTTTATATCTGGGGTCAATAAGGAATTTGTTGTCATTTTAGTGAGATCCAAGAGGAATCTCTGCTGTTAGGACTAAATCAAACAATTGGGCTAAGGTTGAATTATTGTAACCCAACGAACAATCGCTTCTGAATAATGAGAACCTATACAAGATTATAAACAAATTTATCAAATGAATAGAATGAGCATAGATGATCATCAAATGATGATTAAAGAATTTATAACATTACGTGGATGCATCACATTCAAAATTTCATGGATCTATAATACCGAGTTATCAAACTTTGAGTTCGTGTAGGTAGTTTACTCAACATAACTAAAAATTTCTTTTCAGCAATCCATAAATTATTTCGTATAAGAAGATTTCATACTTTAAGCCAATGAAAGTGATTAATCGAATGTCCTATGATTCTATTTGGTAGAAAGGGCAAGAATG